TACTTCCTCTCAGCTTGTCTATTATGTTCTATCTTGTGTTTATACGTAAGTATAGTTGATTTCAAGTCCAATCACATGCACCTCAGCCAGTTTCTTCCAATAAAGACATTCAACTTCCTTTGGCAACATCTTAACAGCAGTATCCATTGACACACAGATAATTACCAAAGATTTTTAGTGTGATCCTAGAGTCTCTTGTTGGTTGGATATAATTGTTCTCCAGGTAAGCAAAATTTCATGTACAGGGGTTCACTGCTACTTGTGACTATTGCCCCTGTATTCAGCTAAATTACTTTTCATATTTCCACCTGTTGCGTCAGCGAGGTCACGCCATGTTTCTAGAAATATCCTGTTCTTTCGTGAATGCCCTAGCATTTACTAGATTGGGGGTAGTCTGGTATATATAAGATGGTCACAACGTGACGGGACAACAGTGTAATGAGTAATTGAACTGCAGTCGGAGAGTGTGTAATTGAACTAAGTATTGTCGAGCACGTGAGACGTTCTAGCGTTTGTTATAGAGCGACTGTTGAAAATAAGTGTATCAGTAAAGTTATATTCAGAAAGAATAAACCAGTTTTATTAAGAAAGGACTTGTGTCGCTAAAGTTTCGTGGGAACGAAGTTACGGAAAATCAACTAATGAACGGAGACATAACAATACGTTTTGCTGCTTGTGATTGGCAATCAGAATTGTTTTTTTTTCTCGACATTTTACTCTGAGATACATAATTAGCGTTAGAAATGTTTATCATACCTAACTCACCTGTCAAAATAAAATGAAGAAAAAAACAATTTATTGTTGCAGAATTTCTCGGGCTCAACTTGCCTATTCTATAAAGAAGTTAGTCTTGCTTATCAGTAGACACGACCACGTTTGATGGATTTTTATTCCGACACCACAACGGTAACACACCATTTTATAAGATACATATACATTTTTCTGACGTCATTTCCACATAAATCAGACCAAAAATCCTGTCGGTCTTCGTAGGAAAAATTAGATTACAAAATTTTCATTTAAACTAAAATGTGGCTATAGACATTAAACCCGAGTACGCTGATTCCATATCTTTAAAAGCCTATTATTATTATAGGGGCTGAAAAGTGCGAACAAACAGACACAAACTGCCGATACTCCTGTTATAAAGCGTACCTGCTTAATTCTCTTTGAAGATATAAATTTAACCTGAAAATACCACAATCTTACAGTTTCGATAACAAACTGCTTTATTGAGACACAAGCTAAAGGCTAGCACAGTCATCTTACTTTTTTCCTCTCTTCAAAGGTCTATCACACTAGATGTATTGTTTTTACCATCTGATTGACGCTTACTAAACAAAGGGGAATATCTCGATGTAAATTTTAAAATTACACAATTTGCATCAGCATTTCCATTACTTCTCTCCTTACGTTTCTGAGGACCACTAGTTACTAGACTATTTTTTGCTTTAAACTTCCTGGCATTTCTACTTTAATCACGTATATTGCATGCAGTCACTACATATCTTATTCTCCTTTAGGTATCTTAAGTGTTTAGCAAAGTCTTTGAATTATTCTAAATCACGCATGTAGTACAGTTGACAAAACTGATGCAGCTGAGCGATCTCTTGTTTTTAGAAATAGGTATCCAAAACCCTGGCTTTTCTAATACTTCAGTTACAGTTTTCCGTTCATATTCTTTTAATAAAGCACTGCAACAATTTTCAAATTTTTAGACACTATACAAGGATTACAAGTTTTTTGCAATAAAGGAACATACTTCTTAGCCAGGAGAATTATTACTTAATACTTTTAATAGTGTTGAGTCAGCGAGGTCACGTGACTAGTATCACGCCACGTCCTTCTCTCGAACCTTCGCGAATTATCGGGAGACTACTAGATTGGGGGTAGTCTGGTATATATAAGATGGTCACAACGTAACAGAGGTAATGAGTAATTGAACTGCAGTCAGAGAGTGTGTAATTGAACGGAGTGTTGTTGAAGTCGAGCTCGTGAGACGTGAGTTATAGCGTTTGTATAGAGCGACT